TCATTTAAAAGTTGATTGTGGTGTGACTATATTTATTGATGACGTGAGTGAAGAAAGTAAATTAAAACTAAAATTCGTCTTTAATGGCTAATTTTTTTGTTATCTATCTCAACTTTTAGTTGTGTCGTTGCCACCATTAACGAATTTGAAACCTTGCAGGAGTTCACCGAAAACTATGGATTATCGCACAATGTTGACGAGATATGACGGAACTGCTTCTCTTAAATTGCAAGAAAGGGGACTTTTTCTTTAAAATATTCCACAAGATCTTGGAAAATGCCTGGCAAATGTACAAATAAATGCAACCTAATTTGCCACAATCCTGCGTTTTGCCTGAAGAGACTTCTGCGTTTTTTTCGGTTATTTAATGCTTGACACAATACACATATATTCATCATATGTTAACGTAAAACGAAGACCAGGTTTTAGTTTGAAATCAACTTGATTCCCACGAAACTTATTAACTTATTTTAACCCAAATTAAGCATTATAGCTTTTGTAAAATGTCTTGCTCAAATTTTTTGTGAACTCAAACAAAGCCATTCGAAATATTTTAAGAATTTTTTTGAATGCAACCTCTTTAATTATATGTTGAAAAAAATTGCCAAAATAGACACATTCAGTCAATTTTTGCGACCTGAGATAAACCATTCGGATGTTGCAATTTCTACGGGTATTAGATAATATTTAAAAAAGATTATTTTTTGAATTTAATTCTATGGGTGTTGTACTGTCACCATAAAAGTCTTCAACATTAATGCGAATGAGACTGATAAAGGGCCAATAAAAACAATGCAAATGCAGAACTATACGTAAATTGAACAAACAATTTTAAACTTCGAATCGTTTTTTTACGAACAGCGGTCTTTAATTGCAGAAATTTTACGTAATAATGAAACCTTTATAATCGACTGATAATTCAGCTTGTATGTCAGCGCACATTTCAGAACTCGTTTTAGCTGACATTGTAACCTTTAACTCGCTAATCGCTTTTAGCAGTTGCCACTCCTTAGCATTCGCTAGGTTCTAGCACGCCTTAAAATTGTCACATACTATTTTTTAACGTATTTGCTTATAGTAACATAAGATTATGGACGGCATTTTCTAGGAATCTCTCGTTTTGGTTTGCAGTTGTTAGCGCAACTTTATATTACTTAGTAAGCGTAGCCTAAACATCTATCCATTCTACGGTTTTTAGATAACTACTCAGCATCTATGTAATTAAAGATGTAATTAACCTAAAATTTTGTCTTCAATTACTTTCATTTTTCGAATAGTGACAAAACATCGTGCTTATTCATTAATAAATTATAAATTTGCGAAGCTTGGAAATTGTCATTATTATGCCGTCGACAGCTTTACGTACCTGTCAAGTTTTATTGCCTTTTAAATTATATAGAAAAATATTAGTAACAGTAACCCTAAAATACTTGTCAGCAAAGTTAAGCTGACGCTGATGAGATTGCGGAAACACAAAATATCACCGACTCACAGCTAAGCGTCAGCTTAAATGGGGGCTTGGTTTAGATTTTCGATTGACAGCATTGATCGCATTTTTGCTCACCCTTTAATTATCCGTCATACTCAAGCAAGATGTGCAATGGCACCGTGGTGAATTGTACTGACTTACGTTTATTAACTCGGTCGTTGCATTTGCCGCCACACTGACCCCCCTTTCACAACGTCCCCATCGTTCGTGCCAAAGCGTCTGCTCGTGCACCTCTGTGCGTTAACCCCCTCCCCCCCGAGCCACCAATTTCATTCATCTGGCCATTCAACTAATTGCACTATCAGAGGTTCCTTGAGTGGGCTGAGACATGTCAGATGATGGACAGATTTTACCAAAACCACCTTAATACATGAGAATTATGAAATTCAACAAACATTTTTATCGGTAAATATGGAATTGATAAACAACTTGCTGTCGGTTTTGCTGGACAAAAAACGGTTCAATTGGGCAACAAAGTCTCCTTGAGGTAGTGTGCTGAAGTTGAAGTTCAAGAATGAGTTTGTAGTCAGTTTACAACTTCGTCCCAAGTATTCGGTAGAACACTTCGTAAATTTTGCTAATTAATAAATAATTGCCTAATAATCTTTGTTTAGACATTGAAGGTTTAATAAATGAGAAAACCTTTTCGCACATCTAAACAATTATTCTTTTATAAGGTGATGTGGTGAGGTTTAGACAAACATCAATCCTAAAAGGACTGCTGCAATTCTCTCAGGTCAAATGGTTAAATGCGATATCCGAGCCCAGCAGCCAACGGCAAATAAATAAAATGACTTAATTCCATGTTGAAAATGCTTCAAAAAACTGGCTGTGAAAGACACCGATTCAGTCACAGCAAAGGGAAGTATATACAGGTAGATTTATTTGTTAGCCATTTTAAGTAGAATTCATATCCATTGTTATGGTGGCAGAGATTAAAAAATATGTTTCTGCACGGAAATTAGGGTAAAACCTTGTAGTGAATAGTGTTGATGCACTTTCAATAACCCGGTCGTTGCAGCTTCACACATTTATCTACTTGTTCACGGCGCTAAACCATCTGCTCATTCACTCCTCTGTTCGAACCTCTCCTGCCTACCGCTTCATTCATCTGGCCACTCAGGCGTTTGCACGTTAACAAAATCACCCAGATTGTATTAGTCATGCACTTACTTTATCTTAGGCACACGAATACACTGTTGGTTGAGTTATCAAACAAACGGGTGTGCCGCGCTCTCTCTCGTCTTCTTCATCTTCTCGGGTATCAGGGAGAAGTAATCGAGCCAGGTTCAACGCAACGGCACCGGCGTGGTTCAATGCCACGTGCAAGGGGCCTACAACAACCTCTCTGAGAATTACATTTTTATTTGAAGTGTGATATGATAAAATGTTTTTCCGTGTGGTTTGTTGAGATAATACCTAATTATGTGCTGTCTTGTTACATAAAACATTTCCTGAAAAAATTGTGCCTAATGCCTTTCGAGCCCGGCCATGGTTAACAAAAAGTTGTATATTATCCGGTATACGTTGATAGATATGTTGCATTCACATTATGTCATATGGGGAAATTGATATTTAGATTTCGTCTTGGTTCAACTTCACATAAGTTCCAACTTTTCCCATGACATCCTCCGACAAATCCTTGTACGTGCCCATCAAATTGCGACATTCCTTTGGGCGCTTCGATTCGTCCACAGTAATTTCAAAATGTGGTGCATGTTCCACAAGGGATTTAAATGTAGGCGCTTCTCTTTCTAGAAAAAGTGAAAAATTCCTTTACTTTCATTTAAATTGGCTAAACAATCTATTTCATCAGAAACCGAGGTTTAACGGATGAGAACCGCAAACTCCGTTTTTATTCATGGTTGTCCTTATCATCATTAAATAAATAGTGCTAAGCACATGACTTGGTGGACGATCTCAAAGACAACGATTTTTGTGTCTGCTAAACTTTGTATGCCTTGCCACGTAGACTTCAGTACAACATTTGTAACCTGCTTACATTTGCTTTGAGTAGGATTTAATGAACATTAGGACTGGAACATTACCACATATCTCTTCAAACGTCAACTTGCAGTCTCCACCAAATGCTTCAGGAACGATCTCCTTCAGTCCAGGTACAGCATCGAAGGCTGGGTTCATGTCTGCATTGAGCACCATTATCTACGGTAATTGCAATGGGTTATTTTACATGCATCAATGTTAAAAGTACCTAGAAAACCGAGACTTACTCGTGATTTTATTTTTTCGTTTAACCACTCAGAGTATATTTTAAACATGGCCTCGAACATTTTTGGGGTGTTGTAATATATTAGCTTTTTTATTCGGAAAGGAAGGCCTTCCTAAAACATAAAAACGAAACGTTATAACATAAAAATAGCTAAAACCATTGTGATTTCTGAAACAGAACCAAGGTTCCTGTCATAGCACTTCGGTAATTTATTTTGTTTTCGGATGAATTTTCGCCCACAACACTTGCTTTACTTATTCAATTTATGCTTTCCATTTGTTCACATGCGGTAAAACCCTCTTAAGAGGCAATACTAATCATTTATTCAATATCTTGACAAAGTGTACTTGTGTGGCGTCGTGGAGTTACATAACCGAGATCCTCAAGCTACAAAACAGGCAGTTGGAGTGGATTCAAGATACTAGGCTTTTGTTGATTGGCTCTTTCCTCAAGGTCAAGCAGTTTTTGTAACGTATTCTTGGCAAAAAGAGTTGTGCTGGCGTTAGTGCCCCTCTTGAATGCATCCTAGTAATTGATGTTGATCCATGTTGAATTTAAGGTTAAGAAGAGCTGACGCAAGCATACTGAAATATACTTGGTGAATCAAAAACAAATATGAAAATAATGAGGCCCGTTCAGTCGAGATGCTAATTGGGGAGAAAACTGCTAGGAAGGCTTGTAGATATTCAAAGAGTTGGAACCTCGGGACTGACGCTTAAGTAACTCATTTGCGTCAATTGAAGAAAAAATTGTTTTATCAAATGTGTTTAAGGCTAGTAACAGCATCCCAATGATAAATTTAGGAAGAATTAAAGCTAGTACGCAAACTTTTACTAAATCATGTATTATTCATATGGTACAGGAAAAATCACGGATTTAGAGTTGCGTTTTTGGTTAAAGTAACGAAATCAGAAAGAGATTCAAATGATAAATTTTACCTGAAAGTACTTTGTCGACAATTTAGAAATTTTGGCATCGAACATTTTGGACAGCATTTCCCTACGTAAATCTGATAGGTCCATGATCATGCACAGACCACCAATTTGAACCCTTGCGTCAATTAAGCATGCGTCGTTCCACATTTGCATTGCAGTGTGCAGAGCACTTAGTGGCAATTTGTCCAAGTTGATCTCCTCTAAAAATGTTAGGTACAGGTAATTCTTACTGGAGCCGTCCACTTTAGCAACCATGAAACATTGCAAGTGGTTACCCACCACTATGTTTGAACAAGAAAGCGAATGTCTACTGACTAAATTATTTGGAAGTGAGCGAAGTGTGTGAACACCTTTTGTACGATTCTTGGGCTCTTTAAAAATCATCAAATCGGTCCTCAAGCTAGCACGTGACGCTGAAAACTGAATGCGGTGTCGCGCCTTAGACTTAAATATCATGTTGCTGCCCTTTATCGCACTTTGGATTTAAATTTTAGTTAAATTTACTTTGTATCAAACAAACAACCAAGCTAAAGCATATAAACCTAAATAAAGAATATATCCTTATCCCTTTGTGTACGCTTTCACTCACTGCCATTCAAAGTGTTTAAAAGCAATAAAATTTGAATAAGGTAAAAGGCAAATGATGTTTCGCGAAGTTAAGGCTATTATCAGTAATAAACAATACATAAGAACGGTTTTAATAAATACTAAACTTACTGCATCTCGCCATGATTGTTGCTGTTCCCTCTTTCGTAAATCCAAGGAAGGTCCAACATCTAAATCCACACAAATAATTATAGTTACATTCTCAGCCTTCCTTACCTAGAACGCCCAAGCCTTTCAAATTTCTAATAATTCTCAGTTGGCAGTTTCACTTTAGTTGATAGCACTTATTTCGAAGCTATAACCTTGTCTCTCTATTGTTTTCTATGCACACTTTCTCATCGAACAATATTCGAATTCGCATTTCACGCTTTAGCGCTACCATTAATCAAGGACCTTGTGTGTGCGATTTCTGAAAAGGAGGGTAACCGTCTGGAAAGTAACGTTTAGAATGGCATATTTGCTACTAGAGCATTGATTAGCCTCAGGTTCCAGCGGTTATTCGTGCAATAAAGTTTTATGAGTGTGTGTGTGTGTGTAAGTCTTTTGACATGGCGCTTATGTGATTACATCAGCTATCTGGTATTTAGTTAGCTAACTTAAAATAATTTATTATAAATTGTTCTGTTTCTTAAATACTTATATGTGTTTGTAGCAAATATGTATTTTTGGATAAATAAGTTTCACTATGGACGCATTACCAGGCAAACTTTCATTGAAACAGTAAGTATTGCTTAAAATACATAAGGCAATCAATAGTTAATAAAATATATGCTCCTGTTTTCTCTTGAAATAATATCCGAGTTTTATCTCTATGGATGTGAACGATAAGAAGACAAGCGTTATGCGTGAGATTACTTTAAATCAATCCATGTATTCCATGCCGCCCTCGAGGCCGAAGAATTATTAAACCACTCAGGAAAGCCTTCGGTTGGCGAAGTTCGGAATGTGCAAAAATTGTCCAGCCGACGTTGCGCCACCAGGTGGTTGTACTTGGCGTGGCGTAAGAATGCAAGCAAAAAATTATCGTCTATAAAAGAAGCATAAATACTCTGTTGGGATAAACGCCCATTTCCTACAAGAGAACAACTTTAATTTGGCATAACACTCCAATAAGATTATTGTAACTTTCAGAATATTCACCTACTTAAACAACAATTTATGCGTTCGTCATCTAAGTGTTCACTTATATCAAAATCCATTTTGATTTCTGGAAGTAAAAAAAGGCTCATGAAGCCAACTCGGATTGGCTAATTCAGCCCTGAGTGCCTGGTAGAGCCGTGTGCCGGCTGACGGCCATACCCTAAAACGTCTGCGCAAAGTGGACAAATGCAGGCTGTTGACTGCACGCTATCTGAGGTTAAGGATTATGGGTTTGAAAATTAATAAATCTGGCAGATCTCAATTAAAGTTTTGATGTAGACTATGGAAACCCATATTACATACTTTGCCTTTGCGAACTTCGTTGATTTGATTCGATCAGAGTAAAATCCTGTAGACTTTTCTGAAATGCATTAACTGTCTTGCGGTGATTAAAAGAGGATGCTTATTCTTATTTAGCAGTTTAGGTCCCTATTGAAAGATTGTCTTTTTTGCCAGCTACTACTACTACATCAAGAAGACAGGCTTTGTGCAATAGTGTCAGATCACATATTTTCGTATAAAAATAACATTCAAATAGGAAGAGTGTTACATTCAATGTGAACTGTTTTTTGTATAGATGTGAATGAGATTATTATCAAGCATTTTTACTCCATGTTCATGTTAAGTGTCGTGCATCCAAGTTACAAAAACCAGATTTATTATGGTTTAAAGCCACGATTGTCGTTGTTTTAATTGGCAAAAGTTTTTGTCTTTACAAGTACTTTAACAATAATAATTGTCAAACATTACTTAAGCTACTGTGTTTGCTAAATGATTAAAAAAGCAAAATTACCCATTAGGAAAATTAGGCCATCAACGAAATGACAACAGCGTTGACTACACTACTGAGTTCCGTCTTTACGTCTGACTTTCGTTGCAATCAACATGGACAGAAAACGACGTGTTCCTTAATTTTCAAGTATTTGATTACTAAGATACAGGATAGATTAATACTATACGGAAATCCTAGTACTTCTACACCAATCCTGTCTCTTTAAATCACACTCGGAAAGTGCACCCATTGTTGGTTCAAGTTTTTGTTCAATGTTCAAAACAACGTGCAGAATTCATCACCACATAATAACAACATACCCGTTGGACAGCTAAGATGAGGCATGGAATTGATCCAGCGCCTGAACGACTCTAAGTGAGCAGAAATCTGCTCGGGAACTTCTTTCAATTCTTTTGCGGCTTTCTTCGCGTAAATTGAAGGCAACGGTTTGCTGGAGTCGTAAAGACTGAACTGACTCGGTGCTCCCTTCGGCATGTTTCCGGTGTGTGGTGAATGCACAAATAACTAACGCAAGCTCAGAGCAAGAACTGAAGCCTAAGCCAATGGAAGAATTTATGCACACACACTTATCGTACGCCAAACGGAGCTTAAAGCATAAGTACAAGTTCTCCATGAGACACACTGACACGCTATTTAAGATCTTCACTCCATTTAGCAAGGCAGACTTTTTAAAGATGCAAATTAGACCTATATTCTTTACTTTGACTGGTCGGTGAATCTAGCTCCAAACCTACCAGCAAAACATAAGCAAAAATAATTAAGTAAAGAACAAGCAAGGAATTCAATTTTTCGGTGTACGATTAACAAAGAACTGTTTAAATTGAGCGCTTCTTCTGCTTTAACTTAATAAATATATTCACGAGGCCACAGATGTTACTCAATCCGAGTCCTACACTAATCAGCCGTATTCCAGAAGGATACTAAGAAGGTCCTCTTGGCAATTCTCAGGCCTCTGTTCTCAGGACAGTTGAGGTCCCACTAATTCGCAATGTCACCAAGATGCAGTAGAAATAAACCTGCCAACTGAATTTCTATTTGGCTCTCAACATTCTGCCACCAGCCTGCCTGTGTTACACAGAAGCAAAATGCACGGACACTGACACCGGGGTGCATGAACCAGACCACCTTACTCACCTTCTCATCAAATGGCTAACTCTTGTACACATGCAAGCACTCACTGCACTGGATATTTTTTGCCCAAAGCTCTATGGGATGCTCCTAATCTTGGTCGTGGAGCACTTGTCCTGTGAGAGGAGTGAGGATAACAACGAGAATACTGTCAGACGTTAACGTTGCAACGAAATTGCCAAATAGTAGCCATATGTGGCGTCCTGAGAATTTGATGGCTTCGAAGTCTAGCACGCAAGATGAACACAGTGACCCTGGTTTTCTTACAACAGCTTTTATACTACGGAACGACTAAGGATTATCACAACAGGTGTGGCCGCGCCTAGGCATGCAGTATCTTAGGAAAAATAGATTCTAACGAACTTTACTTGACACATTACTTCTGGGAAAGCTTGCATCTTCGACTTTAGCCCAACGCCATAGAAACGTTAAAAATGATGGTTTCTGTTCGCATTGACAATTATTGTTTATGATTAATGTTATAACAATATAATTTCATGCCTAATTTCAAAAACCACCAGACATTTTAAGAGCTGATTAGTAAATATGCCCTATTTAAGCTTTTTGTAGTCAAAACCCCAAACATCCTAAATGGAAAGTAATTGCAAATTCTCTACAAAAATTGAAATGACAAATTTGTCGTACTGAAATTGGAATGGGTTCAGTCGAGAAACTCCTTGAATTCGTAAACACAAAAATTGCCCAACAATTAAAAATAAGGGGTTATCAATAAAGCCTTAATCAAATAACGATTAAGTTTGGCAATCATTTTTAAAAATTTTGCATGCATAATTTATTTTAAAATCGGTCATGTGTAGAAAATGCTTGTAACATTTTTCATGTTATCATCTTATAACCCTTATTTTTACTATGCCATTTTTGTTGGAACATTGTTCAATATCTATAATGGTGGTAAGGACCCTATTTTTTGTGTACACTTATTGTGTATTCTGCTACCTTGTCGTAATTTTTATTGTTTATGATAGTGCTAATAAAATTTACCGTGACGGATAGTTTATTGTTCTTTGATTTCAGCGTGCATATCCACTACTGCTACTGTCGGTATTATTTACAATACTATCGAGCGTTGAGTGACAATTTAACTATGAAAGGTCACTAAACTTCCCTATCATTTTGTTCAACTAATAAGCAAAATGTATAATACATTACTTACGGTTTATTAAAGTGCAAATATAGTTCGATAAATCGGGAAGTTTTTTTTAAGTTGACTTACTGAGGCTGCATTACGTAGATTTTTTTCTACTGGACGAAGTAGTGGACATAGAGCAATTTCCAGTAATTTCTTACTTCTCGCTTGTAACCACGGTGTATACAGAAATACACCTGAAGATCCAAAATGCAGTAACTTAGGCTGTCTAAAAAGTGAATTATTGTGCCCATGGTTTTACATTGTTTCTATCAGTTAAAGCTATTTCAGCTTATTTTCGTAAAAACGATTGTGTTGAAATCAATGAGTATGCGTTTTTTATGCATTTGTCTTACAGCTGTATATCAATGGGTACGCACTAGGTCGTTAAATATAATTTCGTTAAATAATCGTTTGAATCCCAGACAACCAATTGACAATGCGCGGGGTTACGTGTGTTAGTCGATAGCCTATAAGCAAAGATCAATATAAATAGCACGTATTAAAAATGGATCTATATTAATCTTCGTGCACCAGCTTCACTCACAAGTGTTTGCTAACGACCTGACACAGGCCAGCAGATTAAAACAAATGAAAGCGTCTCATTTTCGATTTCGATGCACAATACGCATTGATCAGTCTCGTCGGCTACTCACAGCCAAAAGTAACAACTTATTACAAGCTTAGTCTACTCAACTGATCAAGCATAAGAGTTTATTTTGTCAAATCAGACAACTATGTGACAGTAGAATTATTTCGAAGCATGAATTTGGGGTGTACAATAAGGTACATTGTAGCACCTTGGCTGAATACACTAAATGGCTCTCACAAGTACTAAAGCTTAGGCATTGCTTAAATGCTTATATCACTTAATTTGATGTTAGTAACACGTATCACATGGTTCGTTTGAGTGTTGCAATTTCATTCAAACAATTAGCCTATGCAAACTTGTGGATAAGCTAGACAGTATATCACTCTGTTTGTACTATGAAATCAGACCTACACACTTGTTAATACATGTTAAGCGGATGTTGTCGAACCCTGCACAGGTACTTAATTTCTTAGATAATTTGAAATTATTTGCGTTGAACAATAATTTAAATTGTCTCAGAACAAAAACTTATCAAGATGTAAAAGCAAAAGGCAAATAATCTTTCGTACAAGCGTTGCCGTAGTGAAATTTGCCAGTTTTCACTAGGTAGCACTTTAAATATATCACCATCTAAAATGTCACTCTAAATTTTTAATACTCGGATGTATTTTGCTTTGAAACAGTTGAAATGAGTGTTGATATTAAATTTTTGTACAAGTTTGCAGACATTGTTTTTAAATGCATCATTTAAAACCATAAATGGACTAAGTGAGCAAGAAAAGCATGAGTTTAACTGATTGTTTGAATGAACCAGTTTATACGTCAGTTTTCTCTGTCCCACAATTTGAGGCTTTTGTCTTTCCCTGTTCTCTGCGTTCCATTTTCAAGATGGTAAGTTTGCTTTCTGCTTATTACACTCTTTGGGGCTTCTTGTTACATAAGCATTAAATTTAAGGTGCATCGATCACCGAGGACATACGTAAAATTCAACTATGGTAGTTTTCGAGTTTCCTTGCAGTCACTTCTAACGTATATGTTGCAGGCTTATGTCCTTTTAGGGGTTCAAGCTTTATGTTCTGTACTGATTGCTGCTTGTCAGCTACCGTAACTTCTCTGAGAAGGTTTTTTGTAGCGATTCTTTAAATTGTACAATCGTTCAGTTGTTTCGAAATAGTATTTGCGATTGCGAATGACGCTAATGGTTGAAGAAATTGATACGATGGAGGACCTTTTTAATTTGTGATACTTGTAGCTCAATACAAGCGCACAGTTGTTCCGATATTGGTGGATTCGTCGTCAGGAAACACTTCAGCCGATTTTTTACCTAGTATTGTTTCTGCCAATTTTCTCAGTGTTCTTGTTACAGTGCATGTTGTGCGACCCCATATTTGTTTAATGGGCGTAAATCGAATGGAAGCTAAATATGAAACTGTGCATAATCTTTAGAACTAACCCATATTGTGGTGCTTTCGTTTTTCCGACCATTTTAAAGATTGTGTAGCAAAGTCGACATCTGTTTTGTACTAGTATATAATTTTTTTTTTATCGTCCACCGTAGACTTTCGAGGTTTGTAATTGAGTCTGCAAAAAGTAGCCAAAATTTCACAATTATCTCTCTGCAAAGCTATTTCTGCTGTGACTACATCCCAAGGGGTTGTTGACGTTTTTTGATGTCAGATAATTTTGATCTATCATCACTTACTAGTTCTGTATGTCTTAAACCTTCGTGCTATTTACCAAAGAATACTACTCCCTAGTCCTTTGGTTACTCCATGGAACCAAACACTCGGATCCTCTTAAAAGACTTCTGTTATTAAGTCTCCAAAACAACCACTTGTTACTTTTATAGGTAAATGTAGTTCATTTTGTTTCAACAAATAACCAGATACTTCTGGCACTTTCTAACTAGTTATTCCCACTTAAAGTTAACCTCTTAAATTGCATTGTATCCATTGTTTTGTTGGCAATATTTCGTTGGATATGCTGGTTTCTCGAAAATATTCCCAAACTTTGTATAGCTGCTTTTAGTGTATTTCTCGTACCTGCACATCAGTATTTTAAAATGTTGTCTTTTTATAACAACATGAATCTTGCAGTTTATGTGCTTACGTATGTTCCATTTACATCACAGTTTTTATTTGAAAAAATGATAGTTTTTTCTGTAATGTGAAGATTTTATTGGATTGTAGGATTTCGAACAGGAATTTCACGCGCTTAAGATGCGCCTGGACACGAAGACGAAAATGGAGGCAGAGTACATGGAAGAGATAGAGGAACTGAAACAGGTGATTGATGGTCTGCGACAGCAACTGGAAGAACAGCGTGTTGACTCCCCTCCGGAAATAACCACAGATCTCACCCTTGACGCAAATAGGTCCACTGTGGACATCGTAAATCAAATTAACCAACTTCAATCAGAACTTGAATTAAGTCAAAAGAAGTTACATGAACTAGAGTCTGAGAACGCAATACTTCGAGAACGCATTGATGTTCTCGAAATCAAGGAAAGTGTACGTTGAGTTTTCGTAGTATGTATGTGGTATGTCTAAACTGGTAGCTTGGTTCGGTCGTGCAAACAAATGCGTAGACTGTAAACGTTGCGGATGTTTGTGGATGTTTTAAAATTCCATGGATTTCATCTCGGTTTTTACTTCAGACTTAGATATTCATCGTTTAGCTTTCAGATTTCATTGGAATTTTTTGCAACACTTCTCGATTTGACGTTTTTTGTGGCTTTCGTAAAACTGGTTGCTCTCTAGAGAATACTGGTCCAAGTTAAGGTTATGTCTTGCAAAACATCCGTCCCCATTGCAACGTAGAAAACGGGTTTTTAATAGGCATCCAATTGTTCGATTCCAGTCGAAATCATCTGTACGGCGCTAAAAATTTATTCAAATAATACCTACAATGGAAAATCTGTAGCACTAATCCTCTACCACTGAGATATCACATGAAATCGCTTTTTGTTCACTGATTTGTATTCCTGATACAATAGGAGGAGCATTCGTGCAAGGCGACTTTATTTCACTTTCAACTTATTATGACGCTGAATCAGTTTTTATACGCATACAAGTTGTGACTACCCACTTCACCAAAATAATAATGGTTGGAATATTTTCATGTTATCGTTGATTTATTCCTTTTTTAAATCTGGGGCTTACTGATTGCTGCTTACAATTTGCTCACTAAACGAGCAGTAAATATGCTGAATGCATTCTTAAGTGTAAAAAGCGCTAAGAAATCTTATTTATAGTGTACATTTGTTGTTTAACATTCATTGTTTACACTGGTTACTGTTATGCTTTTTATTGTATAGGAAAACGGCCTATCTTTTCGAACGTTCCGAATTGTATTCTTTTCTTCGCGGGTTTAGTGTGCCATTCCGTCTTAATAACGAAGCTGCTATAAGCGCTTATCGTTCACAATGGTTTTAATGGCCATTTTCTAGGCTCCAGATTGATGTCACATTTTTATAATCTACTCAAATCCATGGCAGTTATAAGCTGGATAAATTAAGACCGGAATTTGATGAATAATCTTTGAAATTCATCAGTCAGACACAATATCTTCATAGGTCCTTGAATTAACACAATCTTGCAATTTCGGGCTTAGGTTGTGCTTAATATGACTTCCGAGAATGCAACAAACGAGCTTCTTGAAGAAATCGATCTTCTTAAGACACAGTTGATGGCAGAAAAATCAGAGAAACAGCGACTTCATCAGCAAATTGCCGAGAAAGAAGACGATGTAGATGCCGCCCGTGGCCAAGTGTTTGAATTGCAGTCTACTGTAAAGGTTTGTTTCATTTTCGATTTAAATTGTCTGCTTTATTTGAACCTTCCAGTCGTCGTAATCTTCCTTTGACCGAATTGATGGCTCAGAATCGTTTTACTTCTCACACCCAGCAGCACGAGGTCAAAAATAGTAAAAGTAACTCCGAGTGGTCGTCGAAAATACGCTGTGTGATTAACGACTTCACAAGACGGGATTCCCGGACTTCGGTTGACTGGGCTAATCCTTATTAGTTCGGTTTCTTTGAGTACTAATGATTTGTTTAATTTCGGAAGATATTTTACATTCAAATCCAAATGCAATTCGCATTTTGGCTTATGAAGACCTCTCTTAATGGGTAAATTGCTAGCACCCAACTCTGTCGAGTTAATAATTTTCGTTGATAAAACAATATTTACTAAAATGGTAAAAGTAAACATCTCAGTCATCATAGATCAAATTTTTTAATCCGTCCTGTTACCATCCTTATAATGACAATATTTGAAGGTCGGTAATTCATGTGTCAATTTTGTGTAATTAGCATTCTGGCGCTGGTAATTCTACTCCTTGCTCCAGCTACAACTTATTTTGTAGCTGGAGCCTTTTCTGAGAACGTGTACCATTGCATGTTTTGGAAATTGACTAGTGCGTCAAGCGTTTGCACACCTTTTGTCTAGTTAGCTGTCAAGTGATGATGCATTAAGCCTCTACTTTGTAAATGCAGAAGCAGTGTTCGTGCCAAATGGGTACAGGCACATTAATTGAGCCTCATCGTTTTCAGTCTGCTTCTACCAAAGCAAATCATGGCTCGTTGATTCGTGCTGATTTTTGGTGAAACGTAACTTGGACCTGTGGTGTTTTAATAAACTGTAATTTGACATCCTATGTTTTGGTTCCATTCGCCTCAGATTCGTACTGACTCCTCCTGTAAGTACTCCTCGGTCTTTCTTTATTTTAGAGCCTTCGCGAGGAACTGTGCGACGTCAAGGCAGAGTTTGACGGTCTCAAATTACAGACTGGCTCTACCGACAACACAAGGGGGAATTCGCTGTTCTCTGAGGTCAGTAAGTCAAACTTTGTCCTTTGACTAAACGTAGTTATGAATATCTCACAGTGAGCGACTTTAAGAGGTGCTCTGAAAGAGGACATGTGGTTAATGCGGTGTGATTGTGGTTTTTACCAAATACTATGTGTCTTGGCATTTTTATTCACTCTTAGACGTCTCGCGTTAATCTTTGAGCCTAGTCATGCTGTTGAAGTACTAGGGGTGTGGACCCCGAGATTTCAGTGGGTGGAAGTTCCATCGATCAATAATAGCGACATTCGATTCCGCCTAAGGTGACCAACGACGTTGGGATTAGTCCACGCTACTTTTTCGGAGGCTCATTCCTATCAGTGTTTGCCACCGTCATTGACCGTGTTCGCAAGCATTTGTGGCGTCGCGACATACCCAGAATTTCGTTTGCGCTGACCTGGTCTACGCTGCAATGGCCCTTTTGTAATTTCGACAAGAGATCTTGATTTCGTGTGAAAATGTGTGCATGCAGCACCGATCGTCCCACCTTACATGGTGGCTTTATTAATATCTACTCGATGGATCTAAATGGGTAGACCTGTTTTTCTCTGCATTCAAGCAGAATCCATGATGGTAGTTGACTGAAAACTCTTCCATTACGAGTGCACAAAATTTAAAAACTGGGGACAATCAATTACCACCACTTTGGTCCACTTATAGGGGACTTGGTGCGGGACTCAAATCGTTTGTCTGTATACATTCATGTATTTATGCCTTTGAAACGAAACAGCGATGTTATTCATTGTAATTGGCCCACTCAACACGGTGTGAATAAAAATTTAGAAAATAAGCATTTTAATTAAAAGAAATTGGTGCCCAATTGTTCTTGCTCCCTTGTTTTTGTAGCATTTATGTCGGGGACCACGGGATCACCATTTTTTCTGTGATCAATCAAAGAGAGTCTGGTCTTGTTGGTGCCCAAACGGCTCACGAATGTTGCCCATTGGCCACGAGTTAATACATTCATAAATTGGCTAATGACTTTGTCACTCCTTCTCTTTAGCTTATTTAGCTGTCAGGCGATTTTCTACCCTGTGGGTAAACAAGCGGTTGTGTCACCGGACCCTAAGGTTGTTAACGAAAAGACTGCAGCGCCTCAGGAAGGTTGGCCTCTGACACTTAATCAACTCAAACACGTACACATAAGTTAATTTAAGAAAATACCTTTTTGGCTTTTGCTGGAAATGACCTCCAATTTGTCATACTGAGATAAATTATCTGTCTCCTGGAGGATTATCCAATATGGAATTTGTTGTTGTTTTGTTTTTCTGAATTGGCTGGTCAGAACCGTTTTACTTTGTATCCCAACAGCCAAGCCAAGTTTGAATTTTTTAAAGAACAGTGCTAAGTCACTTTGCATGCATTTTGGCCCACGCAGTGTGGCTGTCCCTGAGACGTTAGTCATTTTATTAAAGCAACCTTTCGTATCACCATTTTCACAATTGTTTCTGCATTTCCTTAAAGACATGCCTTATATCAGGGCCTAAAACGATTGGCATCTCAAATTTTATTTTTTTTATTTGCACAGCAATCAAATAGGCACTCTCTGCTTTGCTAAGAGCACTGACTGTGACCATTTTTTTCTCACTTACTAGGTGGAGGATCGGCGACGTCGCGCAGAAGCCCTGGTCCAAAAACAGCAGGCGTTTATTGACAAACTTCAACACGAGCTCGCCTATGTTCAGGCTGAATCGCGAAGAAAAATTGTACGTTGATTTTATGTAATATAATTCTCTTAATGTGTGGTAATGTGCTTTCAGCTATTTGTAGTGTAGTGAATCGTGTTGATTCACGTCCAATAACCCTGTCCTCGCAGCTTTCAGCACACCTCCCCCCTTGTCACGTGAG